CATCATTACCTATTTGGCTAGCAGATGACCCTGAGTCCAGTTTCATGCTCCAAAGTCGGATTGGTGATCTGGCCATCGAGATCCGAGCAATACGACTAAGTCGCTTCGTTTTACTCAGCTCAGAGACGGAAGTGGAAGAATTGGTCTTCGTTGGGTGAACCGCCTTAGCGTGTATCAAAGAGAAACCAGACAATGTTAGACTCGCATGTTTTTCAACTGCTGATCCCAGCACTGAAGAAAGAGATGAGGAATCAATCACCTGTTGTAGTCGAGGTCGCATCTTGGCTGGCTGAGTTGCCAGGGCCGGCGTTGACATCAGATGTGTGCGCAAAGGGCCGTTGCAGGTAGAAGCGGCAATCGCGCAGCTTGTGGCCAACGCTGATCGATTGAGAGCATTCCGAGATGTAGCAGAAGCTACTTTATCATGGGCGGCAATGGAAGAAGAGAGCCTGACAAGCTGATGTTGCTGATGGTGAGGCTGGAGGGCTGTTGAAAATCGCTTCGGGTCCTGCAAGGCCAAAAGTAGATTTGCTTGCATGGCCTGTATGTCGCGAAGATGAATAAGCCAAGCCTCACGAACCAGTGGGGAGCCAGGATCAAAAACATAGACAGCATCACGGCCCGGCGACTCGTCGGACACGGCAAACCAGAGGCTATCAGGCGTAGTGGGGCCACAATAAGCGTTTTTCAGCTGCACAGGAGAACGACGATGCCGCTGTGGTGAAGTAATTTCGACCAGTTTGTAGAAAAGTGGATCAATGGCAATCGTACACGGCAAAAAGAAGGGGTAACAGTGAGTGGAATGAAAAAATATGAATTGAAAATTTATAAGATGATAACAAAAATAAATTATAAAATATTAAATTTTAGTAGATGAGAAACCGAAGATGAAATCAATATGAAGGAAATGAATATAAAAGATTTAAAGAAACAGAACATTATCCAGGACACTAACAAAAATAATAGCAATAGGAGGAAAAGATAACTAAACTAACTTAGAGGTTGTTTGACCTTGTTATCGCAACATGGTCATATTGGTAGGAAGACTTAGAGGAACGCACCTAGTCCGTAGTATATTGTCTGCATGATCATTTCCAAAGTTCAACCGTGGACGTGGTACATGGGTATGGGAATGTATTTGCAATAACAATTAAGTACATTACTTTTAGTTCTGATAAATAGGTCGTTTGAAAACCTATGTATAAGCTCTATTTGTTTAATCAATTGTTATGCAATCCGTCATACTAAATAAGTGTGCTCATCCATGGTGCACTCTGTATATTCTTTTCGTTTAAAC